TTTGATTCCATAACCATTTTATACTATTTGCATTTTCATTTTAGAAAAGGATTGTCCAGTAGCTAAGTCATGTCCAACTCTTTGTGACCCCATGAACTGCAGCATGCCAGGCTTCCCTGTCCTTCACTGTCTCCTTGAGTTTGCTCAAACTCATGTCCATTCAGTCAGTGATGCTATATAACTATCTCATCCTCTGCTGCCCTCTTCTCCTCTTGCCCTCAATCTTTTCTAGCATCAGGGTCTTGCCCAATGAGACCATCATAGTCTTTTCCAATAAAAAAGAGTTAATCCTTGGAAATCAATGAAGAACCCCTCCTTTGTATAACTAAGCATTCCTTGATAGAGTCCTTTCTTGTCAAGTAAGTTGAAACTGCAATTCATTACCTTGGCAGATATTTTAAAAAATGAAAAACATCAAAGTTGAAACATTTCATAAAAGTGGAGAAATAAATGTAATGGTTATTCTAGGTGTTCTTGAGCTGTGAAAGTGAGAGTTGGTACAAAAGTCAGTCAGTTCAGTCGCCCAGTCATATCCGACTCTTTGCAACCTCATCATCTGCAGCACGCCAGGCTTCCCTGTCCATCACCAACTTTCAGAGCTTGTGCAAACTCATGTCCATCCAGTAAGTGATGCCATCCAACCATCTCATCCTCTGTCGTCCCCTTCTCCTCTTGCCTTTAATCTTTCCCAACATCAGGGTCTTTTCCAATGAGTCAGTTCTTCGCATCAGGTGGCCAAAGTACTGGACTTTCAGCATCAGTCCTTCCAGTGAATATTCAGGACTGGTTTCCTTTAGGATGGACTGGTTGGATCTCCTTGCTGTCCAAGGGACTCTCAAGGGTCTTCTGCAACACGACAGTTCAAAAGCACCAGTTCTTCAGTGCACAGCCTTCTTTATGGTCCATCTCTCACAAGTGTATATGACTACTGGAAAAACCATCGCTTTGACCACATAGACCTTTGTTGGTGAAGTGATGTCTCAATTTTTTAATATGCTGTCTAGTTTGTCATAGCTTTTCTTCCAAGGAGCAAGCCTCTTTTAATTTTATCTTAGTGATATTAAAAAATCTAGCTCATTAATGTTTTTCCATTTTTGTGTGTCTTCTCTGGTATCTTTTGGCAATATTTTGGAGTTTTCCTTACTTATGTGCTCTGCCTCCTTNGAAGGGTATATCTTCCCTTTTCTCCTTTGCCTTTAGCTTCTCTTCTTTTCACAGCTATTTGTAAGGCCTCCTCAGACAACCATTTTGCCTTTTTGAATTTCTTTTTCTTGGGGATGGTCTTGATCAAGGTTAAGTGAGCACTCATGTGAAAATTACCTAAAGTTCACATGAAAGGAAATATATTCGATTCTACCCATTTCTTTTTTTTTTGTCCTGTCTAATCAATGAACTTGAACCTTTTCCTTTTCGAACTTTTTAGGTATAACCCAGATCTTGGTCAGGGCACCTAGCCTTCTAAACAGATATGATTGATTGGAAATGACATACCATACCTTCTACGAAGTCTAATATTCTCCCAACGATTCCACAGAATTCCTTGATTCCAACCAGAATTCCAGTTTTGGTTGCCTGGATCCACAAGCCTGCACCTCATGCATTCATTGGGGTTCTTCTCTTCCCTCTCGGCCCTTTACTCTGTTCCCACCCAGATGTACACCTCTGCCGGTTGCGGGGCCATGTCCTCTCTTCAGTCTGTCCTCATCTCTGCCTTCCTGCCAAGCTGTAAATGCTTTTCACTGTATTAATGCAGAGTGATGCAAGTGTGTTTGGCCCCTCCCCAACAAAGCTCACTCTAGACCCACCACTGCATAGCAGGGGCTGAACTCAGAGACCTCTGTATGTTGACACAGGATTTGCCCTCCTTCACAAGACTATTTGGACTTGGTATTTTTTTGTGCTAGTAAATAATAAAATTTTATTTTAAGCAGATTTGATTATTTGTACTTTGTGATAATTCAAACATGGAGCTAGGCCAGGTGGTCTGCAAACTTTTTCAGTAAAGGGGGAGATTGTTGTTTAGTCGCTAAGTCATGTCTGACTCTGCAGCCACATGGACTGCAGCCCACCAGGCTTCTCTGTCCATGGGATTTCCCAGGCAAGAATAATTCCTTCTTCAAAATAATACCATTTCCTTCTCCAGGGGATCTTCCCGACACAGGGATCCAACCCACATCTCCTGCATTACAGGCAGATTCTTTACTGCTGAGCTACCAGGGAAGCCCAAAAGTAGAGACAGTAAATATTTTTAGGCTTTGATGGCTGCATGAAGTTTTTGTCACGAATACGCGATTCTGCAATTACAGTTTAAAGCAAATAGATAATATGTAAATGAATGAATGAGGCTGTGTTTTAGTAAAACTTTATTTACAAAACCAAACCAAAACATATATGTGATTAAAATATTTTTAGCAGTATTGTTTACTTAATAATACAGTTTTTCCTCCCCTACAAACTATAAAAGCACTTATGTAAAAACTATAACTGGCATGTATATTTTCTTTGCTCAAGTTATTGCTGTGTATACAGTGCAAATCATTCTTAAATATTCATTTAAAAGTAGGGCTTCTTCTAGGTAATAACTCATTCACCTAGTCAGAGTTACTCTAAAAACAATCACATTGTGTTGCCTTTAAAAAACAAATTTCTTGTGAATTAGCCTTATGGTATAAATTTGTAAAATGTCTGTCCTGAATTTACATAATATTTAATGCAAAGCAGGAATCTGTACAAATATAGTAAAATAATATACATGGCAAAGGTAGTAAAGTGACTGTATGTATTGTTATTTTGCTGCGAATGTGTGAAAAGAATATAGTATTGCTTTGAAATGGTTATCTCCAGCACTTTTGGCCATGTATCTGCAAAACTTTCAGCATGTGTCCTTAGAGTATGCATCTCATTTTTTTATAAATGATATGTAAGAACTACTATCTTAGCTAATATTTCAAGGCAGTGTACGTAGGGAGAGGCTTTTCATTTGTCATAGTCTTAAATAACCGTATAGATAATAGACTTCTGATGATTTCTCTGTTTGGGCCAAGCTCTTGTCAGATCTGATTAAATTTGTCATTACTTTTACCTTTAATGTGGGTAATAGAAAACTTTTACTCAGAGTAGAGGTGTCAGCTCTGTGACTTTCACATGATTTATGATTGCATTGGTATTATCATCTTTAATCTGTGGATTCCTTGCATAAATCTTAAACATCTTCGGGTGTTTCAGTTTAAGGGAACAGATTACAATCTGTATATGGACTTGGTAGGTCATCACTGTGTATTTTTAAAAAATTTTTATTTATAATATTTATTTGGTTGCACCAAGTCTTAATTGTGGCATGTGGGATCTTTAGCTACAGCATTTAGAATCTTTAGTTGCAGCATGTGAGATCTAGTTCCCTGACCAGAGATCAAACCCAGGCCCCCTGCATTGAGAGTGCAGAGTTCTTCCCACTGGACCGCCAAGGAAGTCCTATCACTGTGTATTTCAGTGTACTCGAGGAAGGCTGAGCAGTGAAGAAATGATGTTTTCAAATTGTGGTGCTGGAGAAAGCTCTTGAGAATCCCTTGGCAACAAGGAGATCAAACCAGTCAGTCCTAAAGTAGATCAACCCTGAATATTTTTTGGAAGGACTAATGCTGAATCTGAAGCTCCAATACCTTGGCTACCTAATGTGAAAGTCAACTCATTGGAAAAGACCCTGATGCTGGGAAAGACTGAGGGCAGGAAGCGAAGGGGATGCCAGAGGATGAGATGGTTCAATAGCATCGTCAACTCAATGGACACGAGTTTGAGCACACTCTGGGAGATAGTGAAGGACAGGGAAGTCTGGTGTGCTGCAGTTCATGGGGTTGCAAAGAATCAGACACAACAACACGGCTTCTACCTGGAAGTTAAATACCAGCTAAAATGCTTTCCTTTTTAATGAAATAGAATTTAAATAGAGGTTCCAATATTTTGTTCCCATATCACAATTGTACATCTACATAAACTGCATAATTTATGAGATGAGAATTGATAAAAATACTATTTTTCTCTTATTTAGATCTTCACACTTATATTGTGATCTAGCTTTCTTTCATTGTTTACTCACCTAGTTTTTAGGGTGTATGTGTATGTGTTTGTATATGTGTGTGCTTGGTCATGTCCAACTCTTCGTGACCCCATGGACTATAGCCGGCCAGGCTCCTCTGTCCGTGTGATTTTCCAGGCAAGAATATTAGAGTGGGTTGCCATTTTCTCCTCCAGGGGATTTTTTAGCATAGAGCCCGATTACCATTTCCTTCAGTCTTCCATAGTTGCAGCAGTGTTTTTCACATAGTAAGTGAGTATTAATAATACATGCACAGGACTTTCCTGTGATGCACTGGTTAAGACTGCAGTCCTGATAACAGGGGGCATGGGTTTGATCCCTGGTCAGATACCACATTCTGCATCACATGGCCAAAATAAATAAATATATAATAAAAATGCATGTGAATGCTTATAAAAAATGTATGTACATGTTTTGCACTAAAATAGGCTCAAGGAATATTTAATAGTCATTACTTTATTATTAGTCGCGGTCTCTTTGGCCTAAGGAAACCTTATACTTTGAAAGGAAACCTTTGGAAGGTTTATTGGGTTCGGAGTTGTGCCGGCACTGGCACTTTTGGCCTAAAAGAAGAAGGTAGAGTGACTCTTTATCTGTGCCACTCTCTCTCTCTCCATCCCATGTGACCTTGGTTTTCTACATCGAGCCAGCCTGTGAGGGTCTGGTCAGTTCAGTTCAGTTGCTCAGTTGTGTCTGACTCTTTGCGACCCCATGAATCGCAGCATGCCAGGCCTCCCTGTCCATCACCAACTCCCGGAGTCTACTCAAACCCATGTCCATCGAGTTGGTGATGCCATCCAGCCGTCTCATCCTCTGTCGTCCCCTTCTCCTCCTGCCCCCAATCCCTCCCAGTAAGGACTGACTGAATATTTGTCAGTGACCCCTGTAAACTCTGCTTTTATTATAGGAAGCAGTACAGGTATTGATTAAGCACTCAGCTGATGTCAACGCAAGGGACAAGAACTGGCAGACCCCGCTCCACGTGGCGGCGGCCAACAAGGCTGTTAAGTGCGCAGAAGTCATCATTCCGCTGCTCAGCAGCGTCAACGTCTCCGACCGAGGGGGACGCACAGCCTTGCACCACGCTGCTCTGAATGGCCATGTGGAGGTGAGTGTCCTCATCCCTGGAACAAGAATCTTCCCCACAGACTCTCTTCGCCCCACGTGGAACCTAAATTTCACCACTGAGGCCTTAGAAACCTTAGGCAACTATACCTGTTTTTAAATTTAGAGTCACAATAAATTTAAAAAGTAGCCAACATCTCAGTCTTTTCCTTTGACACGCATGCCACAGGTTGGCTGAGGTGTCTTCCTACTTTGGACTTCAGATCTCTGACCTGCCTTTAGATTGGACGTTAACTTGGCTCAGATCACCTGCTGAGGGTGAGGCCTGCTCACCATTACAGAGTGTGCATTTGGTTTCATTGTTGGTTATCTTTCAGATGGTCAATTTGCTGTTGGCTAAAGGGGCAAACATCAATGCATTTGACAAGAAGGATCGCCGCGCTCTGCACTGGGCCGCTTATATGGGTAAGGATTCTGTGAGTGGCGAGCAAAGTGCAGATAATCTGAACTGAGGAAGCTCCAAGTCTCTCACTGACCGTGTAGATTTTCTCTTGGGTGAGCCTGACTTCTTCTCAAGCTTGGGATCCAACTGAATTAAGATTCATTCCCTCTTGCTGGCATGCATAGAGCGCTGGGCAGTAGCTTCGTCGGGGATTTATTTATCCTACAAAGAGCAGGAGAGAGGAATCATGGCACGGACTTCATTGAATGTATTGCAATCTGGGTTGGAAAGCTGCACAAACTGTGCTTATGTTAACTTCTTATGGCAGCAAAATAAAGTGTTTAAAAAGGAGGACTGGCTTGCAAAGCAAGGATGTAAATTTCATTTGTCTTTTTATTTATAAGTACTCCTAAAAGAAACAAAAACCAGGAAGAAAGGACAGCATCCTGGCTGTCCTGTGGAGGGGCCTGGAGTCCCTGTGAGTGATTCTGTTACTGCACCACCAACAGAGCTGGGGCTTGCTCCTATTTCTGCTGGCTCGGGTGCGGGAGACAAAGGAAGATGTTACGTTTCTGTGATTGGCTCAGATCACCTGCTGAGGGTGAGGCCTGCTCACCATTACAGAATATGCATTTGGTTTCATTGTTGGTTATCTTTCAGATGGTCAATTTACTGTTGGCTAAAGGGGCAAACATCAATGCATTTGACAAGAAGGATCGCCGCGCTCTGCACTGGGCCGCTTATATGGGTAAGGATTCTGTGAATGGCGAGCAAAGTGCAGATAATCTGAACTGAGGAAGCTCCAAGTCTCTCACTGACCGTGTAGATTTTCTCTTGGGCGAGCCTGACTTCTTCTCAAGCTTGGGATCCAGCTGAATTAAGATTCATTCCCTCTTGCTGGCACGCATAGAGCGCTCTAGTTGGGCAGTAGCTTCGTCGGGGATTTATTTATCCTACAAAGAGCAGGAGAGAGGAATCATGGCACAGACTTCATTGAATGTATTGCAATCTGGGTTGGAAAGCTGCACAAACTGTGCTTATGTTAACTTTTTATGGCAGCAAAATAAAGTGTTTAAAAAGGAGGACTGGCTTGCAAAGCAAGGATGTAAATTTCATTTGTCTTTTTATTTATAAGTACTCCTGAAAGAAACAAAAACCAGGAAGAAAGGACAGCATCCTGGCTGTCCTGTGGAGGGGCCTGGAGTCCCTGTGAGTGATTCTGTTACTGCACCACCGGCAGAGCTGGGGCTTGCTCCTATTTCTGCTGGCTCGGGTGCGGGAGACAAAGGAAGATGTTACGTTTCTGTGCTTTTCTCATCACTTCCGTTGGCACTGGTACCACTGACAAATGAGAACCCTCATAGAGTTTATTTTCAGTGTGGACTTGTGGGAAATGTAGAACTAAGGTCCTTCCTTTGTGTTTCTGATTGGAGAACATCCTGCAATTAGGAAAGCAGACAGAATTCTACCAGCTCCAGGTTATAAACATTCTGACTGCCCGTCACAACACAGGAGATTGTGTAGTAAATTATGGATGAGCTACACAGTGGGACACTATGGAGTAACTACAGCAATGATGTTGTATTTTTTTTTTTAACATAGAAAGATTCTGTAACTATGTTAAGTGAAAACAGATCATATAATAGTACAGTTTAAATAATACAACCTCATTTTTGTAAAAGAGATCTCTAAAATAAATACAGTCTTGAAAAAGCAGTCTGGGATGTATTAAACACTGAAATATTAACTGACTATCTCAAGGAAATGGATGATTTTGGTTTCCTTTTAACACTTTATTGCTTTTTCTTAATCCTTTTAAACAAGCCTACAGACCTTTTATTATCATAAAAAATAATGGTAATTGTAGGGAGAAAAAGAATGGATTGGGGCAGAGCTGAAATAAATTATGTGGGTATAGATGAGTCTGAGTGAATTGTGGGGCTTAAAAAACAGAATCGTAAGATTTTGCAAGCATTGCCGTTTTTTACAAGGTGAAATGGACTTTCGAATTAATTGAAACAAGTTAGATGCCTGCATGGTCCCTGCCAGACTGGAGCCAGTGATCATTTCCCAGATGACGTTTAGGCAGAGCATACACTAAGCTAGTGTGACATTAGACTCAAAGAACGTGGCCTTTTGCGTTTGTTCTTTGCTGATATATAGCAAACACTAAAGGTGTTCGTCACTCAGTCGTGTCCGACTCTTTGTGACCATGTGGACTGTAGCCTGCCAGGCTCCTCTGTCCATGGGATTCTCCAGGCAGGAGTGCTGGAGTGAGTTGCCATTTCCTTCTCCGATATATACTTAAGACATGTATAAAATTGCTAAAAGAAGTTAAGTTATATTTTTGTGTGTCATCAGGTTGCAAGTAGGGAAACATATAGAGATGACTGTCCTTGGGAACTGAAGGTCAAAACCAGGACAAAGAGCTTAAGATAGCATCACCACTAGCCAAAACCAGCCTCTCTCTTTGTCTCTCCCTGTCTCTGTCTCTCTCTGTCTCTCTAGGCCCTGAAACCAGTACTAATCTTCCACCCTTCAGTTATCAGCAAGGTTTAGAGCAATGATCTTAAAGCATTGAACAATCCTGAGTCAGGAAATAAAGATCAAATACATTTATCATTGCATATGTAGCAAAATAGACAACAAAGGAAAATATTGTTGAGAATATGCCAACAGGAGTTGAAACTAGTTTTCCGTTTAGTCAGTAATTCATGAGAACACTTTGAAGTTGAACCATATAAAGGTGCCATTTTTGTGGGTTCAAAAAAGGGTCAAACAGTAGCAGTTTTATGTGATTTAACATATGGAGTTGTTCTGATTAATTGATTTTTTTTCATTAGTTTTTCCAGACCAAATTGTTATTGTTAGACTTTTCAGTGAAGAATGGCAATTGGTTTCAAAAGCATTGTTTTCATTTTAACACAATTTTTTTTAGTCTCTGGTTCTAACATACTTTTAGGACTTTGTCATTATCTGTAAACAAGCGTGGATCTCCTTAAAGAGAAGGCTCACATATGAATCATCTTCTTTCTTCCCACAGGATTTACATACCTGACAGATAGTAGGTATGCACTGAATATTTGCTGGCTATTTGCCATGAACCAGCTTTTACACACAGCTTAGGAAAATGCTGGTGGCAGTGAAAGTGGATGGTGATAATTCAGGTGGAATGAATTGTCAAATTGTCCTAAGAAGGTTCATCGTGTTTTCTGTTGCCTTGTTTATAAAGGCCACCTGGACGTCGTGGCATTGCTGGTTAACCATGGTGCAGAAGTCACGTGTAAGGACAAGAAGGGCTATACGCCCCTGCACGCCGCTGCCTCCAACGGGCAGATCAATGTTGTCAAGCATCTTCTGAATCTGGGGGTGGAGGTGAGCTATGATTCAGGCATTGTCCCATGGTGCATTTGTGGGTTTTCTGTTGTTCTGAAATCCTGTTTGCCTTTTAATTCAAGAGGGGGAAAACCCCTCATTTCTTAGCATCCTGTTTTTTTGAGCTTACATGGGCAACTGATGAAGGGCGATCAGGGCATATGCTAAGTAGCAGAAAACGAGAAACAGACTAACTTTCTATATCAACATAGAGAAATATTTAAGCATATGTGATATATGATGAATATTGATCAGTCAATTTTAAAAGACTGGCTAGGTTTCCTCATCCCACCTTTAGGACCTTCTAAATTGAGGCTTCCAAGCAGAAATGAATGAATAAATGGCAGGGACAAACATGCTGAGTTGGAGAAGTTGACTCAATCCCATTCTCCTTGGGTAGCAGGGCAAGAGCAGTGGCGAGGTTGTCCTGGAGGAAAGGAAAACAGTTGTAGCTGAGATGGTGATGGTGAGACACAGGAGTCAGGGCTGTCTGGGGAACGCAGGAGGGAGGGAGGGGCTAAATACACGGCCCAAACACCAGAACGTGGCCTTGAGGGGTTAGGCAGCAGAGCCAAACATGAGGATTCTGAGTTCAGCCCCCATGGCAGCTCTCTGAGCAACCCCCAACCTTCCCTGTTCTGTTCACCGTCGAGTTTCGAGCTCTTTTCTTGCTGCCCGGGTTCAGTTCTCCTCTGGCGTTTTGAGACAGGTTTGCATTTCATTTTATCCTTTCCGTAGCTGAAGAATTTCTTCCCACAAGTTGAAGCCTGGTCACTCTCCTGTTTTGCTGATCTTTATCTCCAGGCTGAAGCTTTCCCGGGATGACCACCCTGGGGCAAGAGTAAGCTCTGAATAATCACGCTGACAGAGGGATATTTCTTTCTCCAGCACAGCTATTAGGCTTTTGGTGGGGAATGGGAGGATATTGGCTCCAGTGATTTTCATCACCCATTTTGGGCTCTTTGCAGATCGATGAAATCAATGTGTATGGAAACACAGCCCTCCACCTGGCCTGCTACAACGGGCAGGATGCTGTAGTCAACGAGCTGACGGACTACGGTGCTAACGTGAACCAGCCCAACAACGGCGGCTTCACCCCGCTGCACTTTGCTGCTGCCTCCACGCACGGTGCTCTGTGTCTTGAACTGTTAGTAAACAACGGGGCGGATGTTAACATCCAGGTAGGACTCTCTCAGCCTTCTTCCAGTGTTAAATGCCTTCGCATTGAGCCTCTGAACAGAACCACCAGCTGTCCGTCACAACGAGTAAATTGTAATTCCGAGCATCCTGACTCTCGCAGCCTTATTCTGTCCTGCCACGCTGTGGAAACTTATGCAGGAGTGCTGGTACCAGGGGATGGCACTCAGATTCTAGCTATGTGACCTTGGGAGCTCAGTGAGTTCACCAGAGTAAACGCTGGGTCTCAAGCATGTTGACTTGGCCCAGATTCCAATACTGAAGTGAATGTTGAGCTGATAGATCAGAGGTCCTGAGAATAAAAGGAAGCCTAACCTAATGATATCAGTTATGTTCCCAACCCGTGTGACCCTCCAAGAAGTCTCACAGATGCTTTCCTGGAGTACGCCCCAGATAGTAGCTGCCATTTAACGATACTAATCTGATTTTAATGGTAATTCCTTCACTCAGCGAACTGACTGATGACCACCTATGCTCTCGGATTGATACTGGGTGTATACCCCAAGGCACCCTTAAGGAATTTACAGTATGGCAAGGAGATAGTGTACTCAGATAATCACGAGGCAGGACAGAATGCCATGAGGGACGTGAGGGATTAATTAAATGCTGCAAGCCATAAGGAGGAAGTGTTGACTTGCTTTTTGCTTGGACATCAAAACTGGAGATTGCCGTTGAGCAATCTGATTGATATCAGTTGAGGAGAGAGAGAATTTGAGAGAGGACATTCCATATGGAAAGAATGGCATTAGCAAAGTGTTTGAGAGGTGTCAGTAGGTAACCTTTAGATAACTGTTAGTTCACTCACTCTGACAGATAACCAAGAGGAACATCTGTAGGCAGCTTTCAGGATCCAGGTTACATTACTTGGATGCATTCAGATTGTAGCAGAATATCCTGACTTATCCCAGGTGACCTTGTTCTCATCCTCAGCTCTCCTTCTCCCAAACACACCGGAATCCTAAACCAAAGACCCAGTGTATTCTGTCTCTGCTTTTGAAAAATGGTAATTTCCAAGATTTAATTTCAAGAATATTGGATCATTTTATTTTAATGACCTTCTCTATTCACTATTAAAATCCTTTTATGTTTTTTCATTTAATTTATAATAGTGGGGAAATATGAGACAAATTTTCAGAATAGTAGTTTATTGTGATTGAGCAGACTACAAACCATTTGAAAGAAAGGAGTCAGGAGCAAGCCAAAATGTGACCTAAGCAAAAATGAGTACTTATCTACTGGCCAAGGAGTTTGGGTTTCTATAAGCTATGGAAGCCACTAATCGTTGTGGAGGTCACATGATCAGAACTGAGGCTTAGGAACGGTAATCTGGCCACAGAACACTGGAGACAGAAAACATAAAAAATGTATATATGACTACATGTAGACTTTAAACTTTTATATAACAGAACAACAACAAAAGAGAAGCAAAAACCTTAACATAAAATTAAAAAGAGAACAACTCGGAAATTTTTCTGCAATATACATGATAAGAAAGATTTAACATATTTAATATATAAGAACTCATAAAAATCAATAATAAAACACCTGACAATCTACTGGAAAATATGGACAAAGGCAGATCACAAAAGAGAGGATACAGTATCCAGTAAATTTATGAAAAAGTGTTCAGTATCACCAGTCACTGGAGAAATGCAAACTAATACTTTTATAATACTAGTACATTAATATTTGTCTTTAAAATTGGCAATGTAATCAATGAAATATTAAAATGTAAGATCATTAAGTATGATCCAGTTTTTGAATTTCAGAAAGTGTGCATCTATGTATGTGCATAGGAAGAAAGTAATATGTGAAATACATATCAATATCCTGGAGCGACAGTTATCACTCCAGAAAGGCAAAATTATGATTTGGGTTTTTTAGTTCCTTTTCAATAATGTTTTAATCATATTGTGATGCAATGAACATGTGTTATTTTCATATCCAAAAGGATTAAAAGCTATTTTCATCAAAAAAAAATGTTCAGATATAGTGGACCTAGGGAGGCGACAAGTAGAGGATAGCCGAAAGCCAATAAAACGGGTCTAGATAAAAGGATAAGAGGTAATAAGGACAGGGAATGGGGATAGTCGACAGAGGGAGAGGCTTTGCAGAGAGGAAATCAATGGGATTTGGTTGGACGGCAGATGGAAGAGAATTGAAATCTGGCTAAGGAGAGGTAGGTAATACAGCATAATGATTCAGTGTCCAGTTCTGGGGCTAGACTGCCTAGAATCTCACCCTGATCTTGACTTTTAATAAATATATGGTCATAAACAACGTCTCCGTGTATCTCAGTTTATCTGTAAAATTAGGGAAACAATAGTATCTTCTTAATGGAACTGTTGTGAGGTTTAAAGTTATCTCACATAAATTACTTGGAACAATGCTGGCCATATAGGAAATACGCCATAAATGTTCTTTTAAATTTATTTTTAATTGGAGGATAATTGCTTTACAATATTGTATTGGTTTCTGCCATATATCAACATGAATCAGCCACAGGTATAGGTATATCCCCTCCCTCTCATAAATGATTATTATTATTAAGAAGGATGCCAGGAGAAAGAGTAGGCGTAGGAGGTAAAACTAGTGAGTTTAGTTCTTGAGCAGCTGATTCTGAGCCTTTGATACGGCCAGTATAAGAAAAGCAGTGGTGGACAGCAGTGGAGAACAGAAGGAAATGCATAGGTTGCCTCATTCACGCCGGGGTGATTGATAGTGGGAACCGGGAGAAAAGGCTGAGATCACGTAGGGAGGGAGCGCATCTCAGCACGAGTGGAGAAGGGGATGCGGGTCTGCAGTTAACTCTGCTCTCAGGATCAGCAGGAGGAGGAAGAGCTAGAGAAAGAGGTGAGAAAGGAGAGAAGGTAGGAGAAGGAAACAGGAGAAGTGGTGTCTTTGTGAAGGTAGAATGCAGGCGGAAATGCAAAAGTAAACGAGATGAGAAGAATTTCAGAGTTCTAGATCTTGTAAAGAGGCCCCATCCAAGGTCCTGTGTGGAGGTAAGATGCAGGTCTTTAGGGGCAACCAAGAGACCGAGGTGGGGGAAAGAGCCAGCACAGGTTAAAGTCCTAGAGGACGGTGGTGAGAGGACAGGAGGCAAACAGGTGGCTCACCCACCAGTGTCCCCGAGACTTGGGACACTGCTCTTGCCTTTCTGGTGCCTGAGGACACCCTGTGGATCCTCCAAAGGAAGGAATACTATTGAAGTTGAAGTATCTCTCTTCACCAGCCTCACTTAATTGATTCACAGGGTTATCTGATGCTCTCCATTGCCTCTATAAAACATGCCAGCTAATGTTTTCAGTGTGACTGATACTGAAGCTGGAAGGCCACTTTCTCCCACACATACCTACTTCTCCCAGATAACTGATTAGTGGCCAGTTCAGACTGGATAAGAGATTTCAACTAAGTTTTATGGTTTATGGCAGCCTTTTCTTCTCCCTCACAAAATGGACGTGGAAAGCATAGCTACTTTAATAGTTAATTTTTCCTGTAGATGCTAATTATCAATAGAGTATAAGAGGAACCATTAAAAAAAAAGTCTGAGACTTGTGTTTATATATTATCTAATCTGTGTAAATGGGATTTTGAATCAAATCTAGCCTTCTCCATCAGCCTCCCTTCATCTTCTCTATCTATGTATGAATTCTCTTGACTCTTTATTAGTTATTCCAGATTCTCTCTAGATGCATGGATCGTCTAATGTTTCCATGGAGCCATTCAGTCTGAGTGGCGGTTGTTATCTCTCTGTACCACATTGCTCTTGGATTTTGAAAGTGTTTGTAGATTGCAAGACAATTTGTATTTGTTTAGATTTGTCAAAGTTCGAAGAAAATAGCATATTGGAGTGTAGCCAATTCCTATTCACATGTTCACTTTGTTTTCCTCTGTCCTCCCAAAACACTAAGAGTGTCATCTTGATGAGAAATTTCAAGATGATGGAGATGAGAGAAAGGCTGTGTGTCCTGCATGCACTTTAAAGCCCCTCATTTTGCTTAAATTGACCCTGGCCCTATCTTTGATTTTGAATATAGTGATGTCAGAAAGCTTAATTATTATAAAATAATAGACACACTACTTTATACAATAAGCTGTTGAATGTTTACTTGTTTTTTACAAAGAGGAAGAGCATGAGAAAATACGAAATAATTTTTCTTCTCTAGTAGAGACCACATTGTTATTTCTGTAGCATCTCAAGGCTCTTTTCGGAAGCTTTCAAACTAAGCTTTAAAGAAGATAGTTACATATGGCTACACTGGATATGACTTAGAAAGATAGGTTCAGAAATGACCGTTGCCAGGTTGCCTAGCTTCTGGTCACTAACATTCCACCTGCCTGTGGTCTCAATTCTTTTCTGCCCACGGGCCCTTAGATCACTTAACTTAAAGCCTATCACAGTTTACTAAGGCAGACCAGCTCTCTCCTTTTTGTGTACTAGGACCAAATTTTATTCTATAATTGCATTGCAGAGGTTGAAGATGAAATTGGAATAGGCAAGAGTAAGCGCTAACAGCGACATGACCCTTGGAACTTGGGAGAGCAAGTAAGCCAAGCAGGGAGGTGAATGTCCAAGGTACCCACGTACCGCCTCCCGCTTTTGAGCCAGTAAAATCTTGACCATATATAGCTTTTTGCAAACCAAGGTATTAGATTGCTCTTCCATTGAGTTAGGAAGCCCTTTTGGGTTTCTGACTATATCTGATGCCCCCTCCCCCAGCTGACCTTAGCATTATCCTGTTGAACAGGAGTCCCCAACCTCCGGATCTAATCCCTGATGATCTGAGTTGGAGCTGATGTAACAGTAATAGAAATGAAGTGCACAATAAATGTAACATGCTTGAATTGTCCCAAAACCTTTCCCACCCCCACCCCGGTCCCTAGAAAAATTGTCTTCCATGGAATCGGTCCCTGGTGCCAGAAAGGTTGGGAACTGCAGCTGCGAAGGCTTCATTGTCCTCGCCTGAGCTGCATGACAGCGGGGGCGCTGTGCCCTGGAGAACCTGTGCCTTCAGGTTCCTGGGGAGCAGCTGTGTGTTTAAGTTCAGAGAAGGTTTGCAGGAGGATGAAGACAGAAGGCAGGGCCTCCCGGGTGGCTAGTAGGAAAGAATCCGCCTGCCACTATAGGGGCCACAGGAGACATAGGTTTGATCCCTGGGTTGGGAACATGCCCTGGAGGATGAAATGGCAGCCCGCTCCAGTATCATTGCCTGGAGAATCCAATGGACAGGGGAGCCCGGCAGGCTGCAATTCACGGGGCCTCAAAGAGTCAGACGCAACTCAGCCCAGAAAGGAAGAAGGCATTAGAAGTGGAAGAAAAAAATGAATGGATTTCTGGGGATATTGGTCAAGAAAATTGAAATGCTCCATTTAGTTCAAGGATTAATCTTTCTTGGGTGGTGGTGAATACTGCCCTGAAAGAGTACTGATATTTGTCATAAAATATTCTTAGTCCTCATTGGATTTGCTTCATGACCCATGGCAGAATCATAAGTCAAGTCAATAGGTAACAAAATTTTCCATGCCTTAAATCTGGCAGGGAAATGCACCTAGAATTGGTAAGGAGACTAGAAATGAAGAAATATTTTTCTAAAAGCAAAGCTTAGACTAAGTGGGAGAATTGAACATTCCTTCCCCTTTGAGAATTCAAGGAATGTTTTATATCTGTCTGAAGTTCTAGGAGCAACAGCAGCAAAGGAAAACCCATCACCCCCACCCCTGTGTGAAAAAATTTCTCAGGCAGATAGTGAAACTCAGTAGGATCTCTAGTCTCAACCTGAATATTCTTAATTCTCACTTGTAAAAGCTAAATAAAAAGTGCTAGTTTTTTGACCCTCATTGGTTTTCAATGACTTTTTGAAATGAGTTCCTTTTCTACCTATAGCCTATGAACAAACTGTCCCACAGTGACTGCTATGACATCTTAATGCCCAACCTCTTGCCACCCATCTCTCTCTCTCTCTCTCAGAAAATAAAGAATCAACTAAGAACTGGCCTTAGCAGTAGATGAGCTCAGGCAAAGGTCTTCAAGAATAGATCTGAAGCAAACATCACCGTTGACTGTATTGCCGTCGTTTTAATTTTACCTAAAATGGGCATCTCTGCTCCTTTACCAAAGGCACAGGCACTCCAAGGGGAAAGGGTGCGGTGTTCACTCTCTCCGTAATGGGGAAAGCTTCATAAACTCCGCTCCCTGGGGCTCTCTGACTGCAGTTTAGCAGCCTCCAGGTTGGTGGCTCCTGCTAGCCTTTCAGCTCTTTTCTAGGCATGGAAAACTCTTGTTTAAATATTGATAAAGGTATTATCTAAACACTGAAGTATTTATGGCTTTATGTATATTTAACTAAATGCTAATTAGTTATATTTTCATCTTAAATTTAAGAGAAAATACTGGAGCAAAATTTAAAGAAATAGCACCACCTAGGGACAAATGAATGTCAACTCTGCATTTTCTGTTTTCTCTCTCAGGAGTCTTGGACTGTCATCCCTTTTTTGTTGGAGGGAAATATGTCTTAAATCCTCATTCCTAAGTGGTTCCCAGACTTTTGAGTGTTTCTAATTGTCTGCATTTCTCCCATCTAAGATGCAGACTCTGTAATCAGATAGCTTTCAGGATCTCTCCTCCATTGTGTATTTTGTGGTTGGTGATGGCATCGTATTCTTATTTTTCGGTTAATGCTCCTTTCCCCCCAAAATATTATTTCAGTAAAGTTTCAAGTTTGCTTCCATCTTCTTTTACTTTCTAAGTCTTTTCCATTCAGGCTATAATCATACAAGATTAAGATAGAGAAAAGATCCTATTATTTCTACTTTTTCCCCATCAACCTGAGAATCTTTCACTATAATGATTATTTATTTCACTCAATATGCAGTTACCAAAAGAGCTGGGGTTCCCTGGGGTCTCAGTTGATAAAGAATCTGCCTGTGATATAGGAGACGTGAGTTCAATCTCTGGATTGGAAAGATCCCCTGGAGGAGGAAATGGCAACACCCACCCCACCCACCCCCAGCCCCATATTCTTGCCTGAAAAATCCCATGGACAGAGGAGCGAGGCAGGCCTGCAATCCGTGGGGTCTCAGTGAGTCAGACACGACTGAGCGCAGTGTTCCAGAAGAGTCGGGCCTGACTTAGCACACAACAGCAACACCAGCTTTGACTGACTTCCCTTGGCACAGGTTATACATAGCTCCTCTTCAGTCTAGACTTATGGGATATATAATAAAAATTCTTCTGTTCAACCTTGTGGTTTTATAAGCTATTCCAGTCCACAGTCAAAAGCAGCTGCTCCTAAACTTTAGTGTGCTGTGAAAGTTAGAAATGAAATCAGTTCTGATTCTGTAAATCTGAGCTAGGACCCAGGATTCACATTCCTACCAAGAACTCTGAATGATTCAGTTGCATGTAGTCTGTGGTTCGCTATTTGAAATATTTAAGTGATTATTTGCTTTCCATTGTAGCATTTTTAAAAGAATCATTTTAAAACACAAGTATATGAGTTTCATCACAAAAATGAACTTGTGCTTTTAAAATCTTGTATTTTAAGCTCAGGATTAGGAAAACATTTCTTCTGAGACTTAGAAAAGTAACAGTTACATAAATTTCTTTTTGGTTTTAAAACTAATATCTGAATCAAAGAATACATAATATATTCTGTCAGTTGGGGATACTTTGTATCTAAAGTAACTAATATTTTCATGGGTATTACTGTTTTTAGAAAATTCTATAAATAAATACTACTTAATTAAAAGTGTAGAACTTTGGTATTTGGTGCAGTGCTGACTAGTGGGTAGACTCTGTACATTTTCCATGTTTTGCCTTAACCTGTATCAGAGAATGCCATCATAACTTGAGTGATAAAGAGGTGGTGTATAAATTCAGTACATTTCCAGCTGATCCTTAAAATGGCAGTTTGCTAAACTATTGCATATCTTAATCCTATGATTTCTAATGAGTTAAGTGGGGTAAATGTTTCTTTATTGAGATAATAAAAAGAAGTGTTTTCTTTTCCCTCTGTGGAATTAAAATGTAGATAATGGTGGAGGATTTCAGGTCAGTTTTGAAAATTGCAATGATTTATAGCAGTTTAGTCATCTTTAGGCCAAAGAGGACCAAACAAGTTAATACATCATTTGTCTTTTTTTAATTTACCACAGACAAAAGTTGAAAAAACACTATAATAAACTGTAATGGAAAAGATATGAAAAAGATATATGTATACATATATATGTATAACTGAATCACTTCGATGTACACTGGAAACTAACACAACATTGTATATTAACTATACTTCAATTTTTCATTAATTTGAAAAAAAAAAAAACCCTCCTTGAAGGAAACTTTTATTAGTAGACCACAGGAGATGAAAAAACATTTTGGATGATTTCCTCAGTTTAAACCAGGGTAGTTTAAAAATTGCCAGTGTAACTAAAAATTCTGCAGTTCTTCTCTAGAATAATTTCCATTTCTCCAAGCTTCTTTAAAGTGTGATGTTATATATAACATAAACAGTAAGAATCTACTATATAACATAGAGAACTATATTCAATATCTTATAACAACACATAATGGAAATGAAATCTGAAGAAGAACACATATACATATCCTGAGTCACGTTGCTGAATACCTGAAACCAACACAACACTGTAAATGAACTATGCTTAATTTTTTTAAAAATGTGATGTCAGATAGAAACCTGCAATACCATATACACTCTATTGGGAATTGCGGAATGTTTCAGATTGGTGTTACTTGCCCATTGTTTTTTTCTCTCTTTCTCAATTTTTAGAGTAAAGATGGTAAAAGTCCGCTTCACATGACAGCCGTCCACGGAAGGTTCACACGGTCGCAGACCCTCATTCAGAATGGTAAGAGAGATTCTGCTACAGTGTCATTACTGGAACAGTTTCTTGGTGTGACTTGAGTTTGGCTGTCAGTTATTTGAATATGAAATACAATGCTCTGTTAGTGTTTATTAAGCTTGGATTTATACTATCCTATGATGAACTTGGCTAAAAGCTCCTTATCAGACAGGTCATCACCACCCAGCTTAGGAAAAAGGACATAGAACCATAAGTTTCATAGTCAATTCCTATTCAAAGAACATTTGAGTTTTGAAACTGGAAATGATATATAGGCTTAAGATCCTGCATGTTTTACTCAAAAACTAGTAAAGATAAGTATCAGGCATTTTCTAACAGCAAAGTTGAATTATTTTTAAATTTTCAAACCCACCATAGTTTCATAAGTTAAAACTCATTAAGCTACTTGGTCAAAGGTAAGAAAAATGAGATGACTCAACAGAAAAGCGGGTACATACATGATATAAAGGATCATAAAATCACAGGCTTGTTAGAGACCTTGGAAAGTCACTGAATCTAGCAATATTCCAGACTTACAATAAAGATGTGTTTGAACCATTGAGTCTCTGCAGCCAAGATACTAGGGAGTGTCACTTCACATCACGATTCATGTTCCTATTAGAGGGTGATGGCCAGAATCGGGGAGTGCACTGACTTTGCCAGCACAACTTCTGTTATCTTAGCTAATCTTGGAGACACTTGGAAAAAAAAAACACAAAACAGGTTTAGTTCAGATTTTTGCTGACATTTCACATAAATTCAGCAGTTCCTAAACTATCTTTAGTTGACCCACATTTCTAGATCTCAAAACTCAGACATTAGTCAGTTTTTTAGACCCATCTTCCTGTCATCTGTAAGAATATTGGATGGCATACACTTGAAGCATTAGTGGTATTATCAGGAAGATCCCCTGCAGGAGGACACGACAACCAACTCCAGTATTCTTGCCTGGAGAATCCCCATGGACGAAGGAACCTGGCGGGCTACGGTCCACAGGGTCTCGAAGAGTCAGACATGCCTGAAGTGACTTAGCATGCACAAATTATGTCTTAGGCACTGAAGTCATTTGACACTATGCAGAGGAATTATGCTAAGGAAGCAAAATATCTGCAGTGAAGCACAGGAAATTTATAAGCACTTCAGTGAAACTATAGAAGAAAAGCAATCCCAGCAAATTTCCAGTGAGCAAATACAGGTAATTGAAAATTAACTGCACAACACCTATTAATTCTAGCTTGAAATACATGGTATGCCTTTGACATTCACTTTACTGAAAAACCACTTTGTTTTGTTTCTCTCTAAATAAAGGGAGGTGGGGACGGCCCCTGGCATCTCTCCTTTGCACACTTTCCTCATCCCACTCTTGTAGAAGGAAATGGCGGGCCACTCCAGTATTCTTGCCTGGGAAATCCCATAGACATAAGAGCCTGGCAGGCTGCAGTCAGTCCATGGGGTCGCCAAAGAGTTGGACACGACTTAGCAACTTTAGCAACTAAACAACAACGACTCATCCCACTGTATTTCTCAATTGTTTTTCAGAAACAGTGTCCACTGCCTTAAAAATAAACAAAACCAGGGAGCTATTTGGTATCCAATTCGAAAAATTTAATGTGAATATAATCACTAGGCTTTAGCTTGATGGAATTAAAAAGCATTGTTCCCTGTTGAAGCAGTTTCAAGCACTAGTGACCAGACCAGAGAAGGAGCAGCTTTTCACCTTTTAAGCACTGCCTTCCTACAGGCGCAATCTCTGTGGGCCAGACCTATGTCATGCTAATGAACTTAAAGTAGGCTTGGGGCGGCTGCTGGCTGCTTTGATCTCTTCACAAACCATCCCTGTGAACTTAAACTTCCGTGCCCTCTCTACTAGAATTCTTGCTAGACTTTTGAGTGGGGATGAGACCTGAAAAAGACCCTATGTCTTGTCCTCTGTGATCAAGGAGCTTGTCTCAGAGCCTATTCTTGGCTGGCCTGGCATCTTGCTCTGTGGGTTGAGTGGAGTCCAGGGTCCTAAAATACTGAAAATATAGTGGTTATAGTATATAACTTATTATATATAATGATAATGGTTGCATGTTCTTCACATTGTGCCAGACACTTGACTAAGCACGCCACATAAATCCTTCCAACCACCCCCATGAGAAAGAGGTGCTGTTATTTTCTCCATTTCAAACATGAAGAAACTGAGGCAGAGAGGTGGTCACTTTTGTTGGGGCACCTGGCACATGTGTTGAGGAACAGAGATTAGAACTCAGGAAGACTAACACTGGAGACTGAACTCTCAAACACTCACTTATAAATGTGTTATCTGGATGAATGATGACATGTTAAAATTTTTTTTTAATTTGAATTCTATTTAAGAGTTGCTTGTATTTGGCATGGAGTCATCCCTGTAAAAGGATAATTTGGCATTCTCTTCTCTCAGCCAACAATTCTTTGCAGTTGTTACACATGTGAGAACTGTGAGTTCTTCCATTTGACATAAAAAAAAAAAAGCCCTTAGGGACAAGAACAGGAGCTCTTTTCTTTCCTCCTCTTTGTTGGTTTCCTTTTGGGAAAAGTCCAGAGACTCACACCCCCAGGGCCTGGTGTCCACCCTCCAGAGCGGACCCCTACACGGCAGGACCCCGAATGCCCATCCCCCATGGGGACACCACTTGGTCCTGAGACCTGCTGAGGGACATGCTTGGTGTTTGTTTTGTTAAATTGCTCTGATAATCTGGACTTTTTGCAGCATTTCTCTGCTTCTCTGATTGCTCTCTGGTCAGGGCTATTAGTCTTTATAATACCTTCCCCACCTGCCCCCCCAATCATTCAGTTTTGGTAAGGTGATCACTTTTAAAAACTCTTTTAAGTTAATAAATAAAGAGTGCCTCTGCTGTTCAGTCACATTGTTTGTTATCTGAAGCTGTGTTGTCAGAACCAGAGAGGGAAAGAATTAAATGAAGACATAATTTGATATCAGAAGGCATTTGATCCAGCCATTTGCACAAGCAGCTGCCTTAGATGCTGCCCAGCAGGTTACAAAAGTTCAAAATGATGCTTTTTTTTTTTTTCATAGAAGCTTTAAAAATAAATAGAGTTTGAAAAGGAAGAGCCAAGGGATAGTTTAGGATGATTCATTGTGAGATTTTTTATATTTGGGCTCATAGCCTTTCCAAGGCAACTTAATAAGATGACTATTCTTGTTTGTGCAATGAAAAGCTAATTTCAGATGAATGCCTGGATAGTGCTGCATAAATCATCTCTTCCTGTATGCTCTGCCTGTGTCTAAACTCACAAATGTTTATTTTCCTCACTAATTATCAATGCTGGATTACCAACATTTAACTTGCAACTTTCAAATGAAGAGTAAAGATATTTGAATTCCAAGCAACTGTTAAAAGATTTTCAAATGAAAATGGAAAGCTTTGGGAGTGACCGGAAAATAGAAATTCATTCATCTAGAGGTCCTGAACATATTTCTGAATAACAAATAGTCTCTATTTTCCTACTAAGTTATGATGTTTTCCAGAAGTATATTTTAAAGCACAATTAAAGATAATTACCCATATTTTTACAGTTTTAAATTAACTTATAAAATGGTAGTGACAACAAAGAAACTTTATCAGCTCAAATCCCCTAGACCATCCTTTCCAGTACTTTTCACTCTTCTCTTTTCCTGTCTTATTTTTGGAATATTTGAGGCTGATCAACATGGAGCCCCTAACACTTTGCTCAGAAGGACATGAGCAATGTAGTGTTTGTCCAGGACAAAGATTTTTTTGAGGTTCCACTCTTCAATCTGCTCCGTAGGTAGACCTTTTAGGCTGACCACTGTGGGCAGCTCTCACATGGGTACCTGTATCCTTGATTGCTCTGGGGTATCCATGCAGACCAAGTGGTTGCCTGTCCCCAGGGCATAAAAATGATCTAAATTGGATGCTTCTAAATTTAAATTATTGTGAGCTATTTCTTGAGTCCCTAAAAGTTTGCAGTAGAGATAAAACCAGTCAATCCTAAAGGAAATCAACCCTGAATATTCATTGGAAGGACTGACGCTGAAGCTCCAATACTTTGTCTACCTGATTGGAAGAACTGACTCATTGGAAAAAACCCTGATGCTGGGGAAAATTGAAGGCAGGAGGAGAAGGGGACGACAGAGAATGAGATGGTTGGATGGCATCTCTGACTCGATGGACATGAGTTTGAGCAAGCTCTGGGAATTGGTGATGGATAGGGAAGGCTGGCATGCTGCTCCATGGGGTCGCAGAGAGTCTGACACGACTGAGCGACTGAACTGAAAAGTTTGCAGTAACTAATTTTGTTTTATTACTTTTCTTGATTGCAGCCTGCCAGGCTCTTTTGTCCATGAAATTCTCCAGGCAAGAAAACTGAAGTGGGTTTCCATTCCCTTCTCCAATAAAATGAATACATGCTCACTATAGAATAAAATTAAATTATTAAAGAGATCCCCATCAATGTGTCTCCTTAATCCCACCCAATAATTTCTATTGACAATTTGATGAAATGTCCAGATTTTTTACATGTATTTAAAAATGTACATATAAAGATATGTAATTACTTTTATGGAAATGATCATAGTCTATATATTTGAGCAACTGGTTTTAAAAATCAGTACTTTACTGCAGAAACAAAGATTTGAGGAAAGATCAGCATTTGTATTCAAGCTGCCATTTATATTTCTCTGTCACAAAGTCAAAAAGGGATTACTGTTTTGTGAACAGCTATTAAGTTGCAAAATCCAAATGTGTACATTTATGTGTACATGCTGAAGTCTTGGCTGTGGAGTGAAACATCTTAAATCCTATGTAAACGGATGTACTAATTGGAGTTTTTTTAAACATCTTCCCCTTCTACAAAGGCCACACATATTTGTAATTATTTCACTTTTTAGGAAAGAATCTCATTCATTAACTCTGGTTTACCAACATACCTGGCTAGAAAGAATATTGTTTATTGGAAATAAATCTTAGGGGATTTATAAATCATAGTAGGATTCATTAGAAGGAAGGGCCATGCAGCTATTATTTGAAGATTTTATAATGGTCATATCATAAGAGATAGTGTTGTGGCCTAGAAGTTAATGTTCTTTCCTTAGATCTGAAAAGACTTTCAATGGCTTCTTTTTGGTTCTCACATATACTGCTAACGGGAGTACAAATGGGCACAGACTTTCTCAGAAGCAATTTCCCAGTGGCCATCAAGGGCCTTAAAAATACTCATACTTCCAATCTGGTAGTACTGCTTCTGAAAACGCTGCTGGAGGAGATAATCTGAAATGTGGATAAAATGATGTAAAATTATGTTCATTCCTGTGTTTTTCCTGGTGGCAAAATTGGGCATAGCCTAAATGCCTTGTAATTGGGGCATTTCTAAGTAAATTCTCTAAATACTGAAATCATGGAGATTTGCAGTTATTTTAATGAAACAAATTAATAACATGGGAAGTGTTTGTGATGTAATATTAAGGGGGAAGTCAGGATACAAAACTCTTTGTATTCTATGATCGTAACCATGGGAAATGTCTTCACACACAAATGCACATACACAAAAACAACTGAAAGGAAATATCCAGAATATTAATACTGATTACCTCAAAATAATCAGTGAATTTATAGATGACTTCTGTTTTCTTTTTTGTATTTTACAGCATCTTCTAAATTTTCTACAATGAGAAAATTACTTTCTCAGTAATATTATTTAAAGTAAATGTTTAATACCTTTTTAGATCTAAGCCATTTATAGAATATTTACATTTCTCAGGATTTTGTATTTCTTATTCTGGAATGTATAAATGTGTATGTGTAGTTTAGATACACAACCAAACATTATAGTATTAGTATCTTAAAATGATATATTTTAGTTTTAAAACATCAGCTTAGTTTAGTTCAATATAATTGATAATGAGGTAAAGCTGAAGATTTGACCTACTCTAAAATACCTGATTGCCGGGAGAAATATCAATAACCTCAGATATGCAGATGACATCACCCTTATGGCAGAGAGTGAAGAGGAACTAAAAAGCCGCTTGATGAAAGTGAAAGAGGAGAGTGAAAAAGTTGGCTTAAAGCTCAACATTCAGAAAACTAAGATCATGGCATCT